TCCAGTATCATTCATGTTCGTGTTAATTACACTTTGGAATATTTATGATCTCTGTGGCCTAAGGCCGGTCTGGGGTGACTGATAGTGACGAAGATTGAATTCTGAATGATATTAAATGAGATTTTAATTGAGGGGGTTTTAGAATGCTGTTTCAGAACATATTTTTCTAAAAAATGCTTAGATTGTTGCTCTGAATTATGGGGATCTAAGACATGATATAGACATTAATTAAAATTGGATTTTAATTAAATCGAATAGATTTTTTGTAAAAATTATGGGAAATATAACGGCTCTCCACAGTTTTAATTTGGGAGATTGACCCATATGACAATAACGGAAATTCCACGTTTATTATTTCCAGATTAAACTTAAAAATGAAAAATGTTATATTCTAGGTCATATTTGGAGTTATGAGGTACCGACATAGTCAGGAGACCCAGGCCCTCTCCCAAAATGCAAATTTTTAGATAGTTTCAGGGCATTATTCTGGAAAATCTCATTCTTTGAATGCTGCTTCGGAACCTATTTTTCTTAAAAATGATTAGATTAGATGATTAGATTGTTGCTCTGAATTATGAGGATCTAAGACATGATATAGACATTAATTAAAATTGGATTTTAATTAAATCGAATAGATTTTTTGAAATATTGTCGGAAATATAACGGCTCTCCACAGTTTTATTTTGGGAGATTGACCCATATGACGATAACTGGAATTTATCGTTTATTATTTTCAGATTAAACTTAAAACTGGAAAATATTATATTCGAGTTCAAATTTGGTGTGAGGTATCGACATAGTCAGGAGACCCAGACCCTCTCCGAAATGCAAATTTTTAGATAGTTTCAGGGCATTATTCTTGAGAATCTCTTTTTTTGAGTTTTTCCTTGTTAAGGTTTTAAAATAGGTTTGAAAGGCATTTCTGGCTACTTCGGTGGTATTAGGTTCCAGATATACATAGTGCATCAAGGTATTCCATTCGCAAGTTACTAGAGATATAAGTATTTAAAATAGTGACCGTTTGTGAGGCAGGTACCAGTAAGGGTGGGCCAATATATCGCATCTCCACACCAGATCTTGTGTTAATAGAAATATTGGGATGTGTAAAATTTAAAGAGAATTGGATGCCTATTTAAAATTTTATTGAAGCTACAATTATTTAAAAATTATCACCCCTTGTGCGGAAAGTACCAGAAGTAGTAGACCGATATTTCCGATTTTCACACCATATCTTGGGTTGATAAAAATATTGGAATGTGAGAAGTTTAGTAAGAATGAGATACTGATTTCGCACTTTATTATTAATTTTTTCAAAAATGTTGACCCGTTGTGGGGGGAGGTACCGAAAGGAGTACACCAATTCCCACCATCTTCCCACCAGATCCTGTGGTAATAGAGATATTGCAAAGTCTGAAGTTTAGAAAGAATCAAATGCTTCTTTTGCATTATACTAACAAATTTTTGACTCCGTTGTGGGGAGATATCAGAAGGCGTGGACCGATATCTATCATCTTTACACTAGATCTTGTGTTCACAGAAATACTAAGATGTGCCGGTACGAATTTAATCGAATGTTTATTTCGCTTTTTAGGGGCTTCATGATATTTTTTAAAAATAGACCGATATCTAACAACTTTAAACCAGATTTTGTTTTAATATAAATATTGACTTGAGTGAAATTTGGATAGAATGAAGTTTAGAACGTATGAGTATTTTATGAGCATTTTGGTTATTCAAAATGTAGACCTTTGTGGGGGAGTGGTCTGATATATTTCATCATCGTACCAGATCTTGTATTAATAAAAATATGTGTGAAATTTAAATCGAATCGGAAGCTTATTTCCCATTTTATGAGACTAAAAATTATTCAAATATTTTGAGCTGTTGTGGGAAGGTACCAGAAGGAGTGGTGCAATATCTACCATTTTCACAACAGGTCTTGTATTAATAGAAATATTGAAATGTGCCTAGGTTGAAAGTAATCTGATACTTCTTTCGCATTTTATGAGTATTTTGTTTATTCAAAATTTAGATCACTTTAGGAGGAGGTTGCAGAAGAATTGGTCCAATACAGGGTGAGATGAAAAAACTACAACCAACTTCAGACCGCTGTCATTTCTTAGCCACTTGAGAATTTTCCAGAAAAAAAGTTATTGGTGATGGAATTCAAGCGTGATAGTGTGATTCTTTATATTTGGCTGGAAAACCACAAGTGGCTATCGTTAGAGCACTCCAGTATTTAAATGTGAATAAATCTTTTGCGTCTCGTACCATCTTTCGCGATTTGATCGAAACCCACGTCGCAGTGGCCGAAAAATGACTTGTGAGCTGAACATATCGCAATATTCCATTCGACAAATATTGAATAATGAGCTCGGGTTGAAGACATTCAAATTCCAAAAATTGCAAGAACTTACACCGCAACAGAAAGAAAATAGACTCAAAAGAGCTAAGGAGTTGTTTTGCTTGGCCGAATTTCTGCCGAATTTGGTTTTCTCCGATGCGAAAACATTCGTTGTCCAGCAGTTTGTAAACAAACAAAATGATCGTGTTTACTTGCCAAAGAGGTCAGCTGAAAATATGCACCGTTGGACTATTGTGTCTGGAGTATTTTGGAAAGCAAGGTTGGCACTAAGAAATGCCAAAGTGTCGATCACCTCAAGCAAGCGCTTCGCCGGGAATGGGCAAAAATACCGCAGAGCAACATTCGGAGCTTCATTGGCCGTTTGAAGGACATAATTCGTGCCTAGGGTGACTAATTCGAACAAATCTGAACTTATTCTAAAATTTGATGCTATTTCCGATATTTTTGCTTTCATTCAATAAAATTAAAAAAAAAAATGAAAAAATCATGGCGTTTGACTTTTTGTTGTAGTTTTTTTATCTCACCCTGTTGATCTGCTTAAAATTCTTTGTCCATTTAGCGATTTCCGTCCGTCTATCCATCTGCCCATCTATGGAAATCACTCTAGCTTCCGAACGAAATAATGTAGGTTTATAAAATTTTACTCAAATGTATATTATGTCTGCAGGACTTTTGGTATTAAAAATGGCCCTTGTAGGTCCATGTTTTGGTATAGCCCCCATACAATGGTACCTGCCTATTTTCGGTACTTTGGTGCCTTAAGCGACGTTATTCACCGGAATTGTTAGAAATTTAGCATTTGAAGTTCGTAATGAATACTACAGTCTGTGACAGAAAATTGTCCATGTAGGTCCACGCCTTCGTATAGCCCCCATATAATGACACCTCCCTATTTTCGCTATTTTGGTGCTTTAAGCGACATTATTCACCGGAAATGTTTCAAATTTGGTATTTGAAGTTCGTAATAGATACTACAGCCTACGGCAGCAAATTTTCTGTGCAGGTCCACGCCTTCGTATAGCCCCCATATATAGTAGTACCTCCCTATATTCGGTATTTTCATGATTTCAGCGACATTATTCACCGGAATTGTTTCAAATTTGGTATTTAAAGTTTGTAGTGGAAATTACAGCCTATGGCAGAAAATTGTCTGTGCAGGTCCACGTCTTCGTATAGCCCACATATAACGGTACCTCCCGATATTCGGTATTTTGATGATTTAAGGGACATTATTCACTGAATTTTTTTTCAAATTTGGTATTTAAAGTTCGTAATGGATACTACAGCATACGACAGAAAATTATCTGTGCAGGTCCACTTCTTCGTAAAGCCCCCATACAAAGGTACCTCTCTGTATTCGGTATTTTGATGATTTTAGCTACATTATTCACCGATTTTTTTCAAGTTTCGCATTTGAATATTGTAATGGCTTATGGCAAAATTTGCCTATGCAGGTCCACGTCGTCGTATAGACCCTAATATAATGGAACCAGAATTTTTTAACGGATTTTTGTTTTTTCGAAATTGCCAAATTCGTTCCAAATGGTGGAGGATATTAAAACTTGCAAAAAAATATTTAATTGTTCTTCTTCTGGTTTTTCGTTAAGCTTGAGTTCAGATTTTTTTTGAACACCAACAGATTTCGGCTTCTGTAAGGGACTTATTTAGGTGTATTGATGTCTATGTTTTAAATTAGTTACCCTTCTATGGGTTTTCTAAGGAAAAAAGGCCCCTCAATCGGTTATCCCATTTCTAGTAACTCTTAACAGATATTCAAAGAATAAAAATATCACATATTTTCCTTGTAACCGGCTTCTTTCATACAACCGACTCAGAGACCAGGCAATTGTATCCCATTACTTCAGGCGGCAGGACTCATTATAAAATTTTTTAAAATATATCGAAAAAATATTTTGCCGTAGCACAAAGACTTGGCAGCCAATATTAATTGGGTCATTTTTGTCATGCTTGGAAAATTTCAATTATATAAAAGTTATAAGTGCTAATATGAAGATCTATATAATTCATCTAAATAATGAAATTTCTTCTTAGGAGTGTAAATAATTCACAGACCTAAAATGTGTTCTAATTGCTCCAGATTAAATCAGGTGCTGCTAAACTATGTCAATAAAATTCACACATTTCATGCTTTCCAAAAAAAAAAATATATATATATACCAACCAAACCACAAACAACCATGCAAACCTCTAAACCATTTTCAAAAGAATTCAACATTCAGTTATAGTTTGTTTTTCCCAAAATACCAGAAATAAATAAAATTTTATTCAGAAAAAAAGAAATAACAGAAAAATAATGCTTACATAATTGGAAATACTAATACAAACAGACAAACTACATTAACTAAAGAAAAGTAAATTAAAATAAGAAAATAGTAAATCATTTATAAATTCTTTGTTATTATTCCATTACAACAACATGCATGATGACGATGATGGATGACATGCATTTAACATCATGCAAATCATGCATTCATCCATCCGTCCAACCATCTCACAATCCATCCAACGTTATGTCTCATCATCATCTCTTTCTCATTCTCTCTCTCTCTCTCTTCTCTCTTCTACCCCTCAGTGGCCAATTAGTTGTAATTTTTAGTAAATTCAGCGTACTTACGTCCAAGACAGGTATGTTTGCGGAACTGCAAGAAACCCTCCACACAGCGACAGGCTCCATCCAGACAACTGCTGTTGGACACCTTCATGGTGCACTGTTCGTTGAGAATGCAATCGCCACCCAGGAGTTGAGCTGTAAAATTGAAGAGGAAAAAGAAAAAAATTAATAAATTTTGAAATGCATGCATTCATTATTAATGGTTCTACGGCCCGAAAAGCCCAGGCCAGGCCATAAGGAAGAGACAAACAAACACCCAGACACACACACACACGAAAACAATCAACTAAATTTGGCTCCCAGGCCATCCTGGGCCATAAAAGTGTTAAATGTTAATGTCTGCCGACAAGTCGTTCGGTCAAAAAACATGTTTTTTTTGCGGCACTGAGATGGTCCGGGATAGAATGGAAAGAAATTAAGCAGGGACGTGGCTAAGTTTTGGGAAATATGATATTTAAAGGGATATCCATCAACATATTTTTAACACTAGAAAAGAAACCCGAAATTTTGATTCGTACTAAAAGGAACAAAAAACTGCGCTTTTTGGACAAATACTATATGCTTTTGGGTCTATCATCAAATTCAGTCCTAGCTGCTAAAGGACGTCAGATAACTTAGAGTTTTTGGAAATTCGTACCATTTAAGAAAGCTACCAGAAAGTACTAAAAATGGTGGTTTCCACTACGAAATTCGTACTAAAAAGTACTAAATACTGTACTGCAAGAGCTAGAAATCTTAAATTTGATATTTAGCTTTGCGTGTCAAAGCAACGGTTTTAGACCCTAGGTCTCTTTGGACCAAATCCGTTTCAGGACATTTGGAGTCGATCTAGCGATGTCCGTCCATCTGTCTGGCTGGCTGGTGCGCATGATAACCGATTTGGTCCAAACTTGGTACATCGCAATATTATTATCAGACTTAAAATAAGTTGGGAGATAGGCAATATCGGTCCACTCCTTTAAGTACCTCCTCCACAAAAGTTCGAATTTTTCAAAAAAATATTTAAAGAGAAAGGATTATCTAATTTTATTCAAACTTTACCGTCCACTCCATCAAGTACCTCCCCCACAAAGGTTCAACATTTTGAATAATTATAACTCTTATAAAATGTGATACAAGGGCCCGATTGTCTTCAAATTACACACATCATAATATTTTTATTAACCTAAAGTTTGGTGGGAATATATCGGTCCACTCCTTCTTGTACCTCCCCCACAAAGGCTCAATATTCGGAATATCCACGAAGCTCAGAAGTCGAAATTATCATCGGATTCCATTCGGACTTAGCGCATCTCAATATTTCCATCAACACAAAATCTGTTATAAAGATGGTAGAGATTGGACCATTTCTTTTGGAACCTCCCCCACATAGGGTTCAAGATTTTGAAAAACAAAACGCTCAAAGAAAGCGAGATAAGCATGCAACTCTCTTCAATTTTTACTCAGGTAAATATTTTTGCTAACAAGAGATCTGTTGTGAAGATGATATATATCTGTGGGCCCTTCTGGTTCCTCATCCACAAAGGGTCACAATTTGCAATACTATTATCTGTCAAGTCAGCGATTCTTTACAATTTGGTATATCTACATGTTTCTCCAAACCAGAAATCTGAGATGAATATAGAATTTATGTTTTTCCAATTTTATGGATTTAAATGTTCGATTTTCTTGTAATTCTGCCCATACCAATATTTTTATCTGTATTAGATGATGAAAAATGAAAATATGAAAATGGAATACTTCCGTCGAATATATCTGGTGCCCCACGCCATTTTAACATTTTCTAAAAATTATCACAGATCTCCTGTGAAGTGAAGGAAGTAACCAATATAGTCCAAACCTGGCACGTTGCAATATTTACATCATATTTATTTTATTTACGATACGAAATTGACAAAATTGTCCCGTTCCTTCAGAACCTAATCTATGCAGGGTCAATAACTTGAATAATCATAACAGAAGTCGAAATATATTTAAATAATCGAACATTGACTGAGGGTATACATCTGTCGGCTGTTGCCTTTTAACATATTTTTTGGTACTTTTTGCTGATATTTGTCATAGCCGAACTCGATTTAGGTTAGGTAAAAATGTTACGATGTACCTAGTTTGGAACACGATGCTTCCGTCGAAAGTTATAGTGCTCGCGGACAAACTGACCTGAATCGGGTTGAAAACTTTCGCTTCAGTGAAGTTCAAATATCTCTCCGTAGAATGTTTTCTACTGGTTCATAAAGGTCCACATTCTGACAAAGGGTTTAGCCATATTTTTTAATCGAATTTGTTGTAAATCTCAAAGGGCAAAAAACATATTTGCAAAGAACAGCCTATAATGGCCAGGTTGCCTTCCGTACCCAAAGTAAGGGTACTTTTCCCATATGCAGTATTTTCACATTTTCGAACTGGGTTTTTTTCAAAAATGTCATTTTGAGTTTGTCATAAGTATCGCCATCTCTGGCTGAAAGGTTCAAGCTAGTTTCAATCTTTACTCGAGCGAGAGTACTCCTGCTATTAAACAACGGCTGTACTCACTTTTCTATGCCTCTTGAATAAGAGCGAGTAGGCGTTCTTCGATTTCGAGTAAGAGAGAGAGAGAGATTATCCGCTCAAAATCGAGAAAATTACTTTACTCTTGTCGAGTAGTTTTTTTGTTGTTGCTTTTATTTTTTTGGACTCAAAATCCAACGGACCACTGAATATTATTCTCTTCTTGATTTTTTACATTACATTTTAAAACATGTTTGCTAGTAAAAACACTCGGACACATAAACTGAAAAATATCATTTTTCCGCTCGATACTGCTCTAGAAAAAAATCTTACTCTTACGAGCATTTCGACTACCACTCTTAAATTTAGACAGGAGTAACTTGCGAGCACTTCCACACAGAACAAAAAAAGTGGATAATCTTCATGTTAACGCCGTACTCCTATGAGCAATTATGAGCCACACAAAACCAAGTTTTCGTGTTCCATCCATTTAACGCTACCTCCTAACATTTGATATTTTCATGATAATAGTCAAAGTTAACAAGTAAAAAGACAGTAAATTCTGCCGGGCCGAACTTTGAATACCCTTCACCACTTGGAAGGAATTTTCCAAATTTCAAAAAATTGCGTTGAAAATACTGTCATAATCATCAAAATACCGAATATGGGAAGATACCGCATTTTGGGTGCTATACAAAGACTTGAACCTGCATAGGCAATTTTCTGTTATGTAGTAACCATTAGGAACATGAAATACGAAATTTGAAACAATTCCGGTGAAAAACATCGCTAAAATCGTCAAAATTCCGAATATCTGGAGGTAGCGCTTTATGGGTACTATATTAAAACTCAGACCCATATTTACAGTTCTATGCAAGGATGTTTCTTATATAATGGGCATAATTGGGTTAAAATTGTGACAAAAACACCCAAAAAGAAAATCTTAATCTTTCCATACATTTATGTGGGGGCTATACCAAAACATGGACCTATATAGCCCATTTTCAATACCAAAAGTACTGCAGAAGTAACACACATCAAACTACTTCGTTTCGTTCGGAAGCTAGGATGATTTTCACAGACGAATGGACATCGCTAAATCGACATAGAATCTTATGCTGATCAAGGATATATGTACTTTGCGAGGTCTAAAATGAATATTTCGAGTTGTTACAGACGGAATGAAAAACTTAATATACCCTCCATACTATGATGGAGGTTCAATATTTGGAGTTCGTAATAACCTTCTCCAATGAAAAATGTTTATGAAAATGTACATTTTCGTGTTGTCCCCCATTTTTCGAACTGGAGAATCACAGGTTCCTAATAAAATAAATTATATATACCGCTCGAACAGTGGATAAAAATGTTTTCAAAATAATAATTTTTGGTAAAATGGCAGAGGGTTTTAAAAGAAAGATATTAACTGTTTTTTACTCGTTCTTCCCAAAAGGTCTTCTATAGAGAGTAAAATTTCTGTGTTCAAAATATTTTTTTTTAGTACTACTTCTAAGGTTTTATGATGGTTAAAGGTTTTTTCATAGTTTGTCTATGATTCGAAAACTTCACTCTGCTTGGAAGCTTTGTAATGGTCTTCGACCTCTACATATTCATAATGTGAAACTCTTTCAGGAACATGAACTTTTCATAAGCCTTCTGCAGAGAGAGAGAGAAGGAGGGAGAGAAAGAGAGGGAGAGAGAGATAGAAGAAAAGAAGATTATTTCTAATGTTCTCTCAAAAAAAGAAGGAGACTTCTATACATTCAAGACAAGTGCCAATGTTCAATACATTGGTCTCTTTTCAAAAAATATATCCTTTTGTTAGTCTAATATAGTAAGGTGCCTCTACGAAGAGGAGTGAGTTTCTCGATCATCATTTCATAGAAGTTACCCTATTAAAAAAAAAACAAGTATTTTCTTATGTTAATCAATTTTGGACCCAAACTCTGTTGTCTTTATTCCTTGCTGTCTCCCCTTTCTTAGACACGTTTCTGTTTCCACTTCCCTTCCTTACAATAGAGAATTTCAAGGCATCTTTTTTTTGTTTTGATATTTCATACTTACATGACAAACATGTTGTACTGTTGTATTGGACATAGTACGGGGCACATTCACAATAGCCGAGGGCAGAACACGACGATCCCTTAATAAAATCCGTACAATCCATGTCGTGTTGACATTTCGAGCCGAGTGTCGATGCTGCCGCTTGTGTGGTAAATAATGTTACAAATAACGCTAACTGTAAAGGAAGAAAAGAAAAAAGAAATACATAAAAAATTAATAAACTTTAACAAATTGGGGAAAGGAGAAAATGTATTCAAGAGCGTCGAATGTAGAATAACCAACAAAAAATTTAGAGAGAGGGAACATTGAGAATTTATGAAATTGATAAGAGCAATGAACGAATTGAATAAATGTGTTAATTAAAATACAAACAAATTAAAACTAATCATATTTAAGTGCGTGTTAACTGATTCATGACGTTGTGGCGAGGGGGCTTGACCCAGTTTTTATGGAGGTAAATTCTACAGAATAAAAGCATTGATTTTTTTCTTAACCAATTTTTATGGAGGGAAAATTCCATTAAATTGAGAAAATACTTATTTTTGGAAAATTCTGACAACATTTTAATGTTTGATTTACAGACTCAATTCAAGCGTAGGTCAGGTAAAAGAATATCGAAAGAATACCCCAATTCGATGTGTGTTTTCCATTTTTTATTCCCTCTACCATACAGAGTATAGAGGGTATATTATGTTCCTCATTCCGTTTGTAACTCATCGAAATAATAGTTTTAGACATAACAATATATTCATATATTTTTGATCAGCGTAAAATTCTCATCCGATTTAGACCTGTCCGTCTGTTGTAATCACGATAGAGTCCAAGCGAATAAAGATAGGAAGTTAATATTTTGCACAGATCAGTCTTTTGTCTGCAGACAGGTCAAGTTCCAAGATGGACCCAAGATCGATCCACGATATCGTATTGAATATATAAATATTCAATGAAATTGTCTGAAAATTCACAAAAGGAATTTCAAGCGACCAGTTTTGCCACCTGGAAGGGTATTGTCTATATAGGTCCACTATGTCGTATGTCCCGCAGTAAACGCTACCTACCTATTTTTGAGATTTTGATGATTTTAGCTAAATTTTTCTGTGGAATTGTATAAAAATCCATTCAAGAAGTTCTTTCTAAGCACTTTACCCCCTGGAAGAGAAATGTCTTTATAGGTCTATGCTGGTCCAGCTTTTCGTATAGGCCCCATATATCAGTAGCTCCCTACATTCGGTATTTTGACGATTTTATGCATAATATTCACCGAAATTTCGTATAGGTGCTAAAGTCGGTGATAGACAAGTGCCTCTGCAGGTCCAAGTCTTCATATAGCCCCATATAGCAGTACCTCCCGATATTCGGTATTTTGATGATTTTAGGAACATTACTCATCGGATTTGTATTTAATTTCGTATTTAGAATTCGTAATGGCTATTGCAGCTTATGACAAATAATTGCGTATGCAGTCCCACGTCTCCGTATAGACCCCATATAACGGTACCTCCCGATATTTGGTATTTTGATGATTTTAGCGACATTATCCACCGGAATTGTTTCAAATTTGGTATTTGAAGTTCGTAATGGATATTACAGCCTATGACAGAAAATTGTCTGTGCAGGTCTACGTCTTCGTATAGCCTCCATATAAGGGCACCTCCTGATTTTCGGTATTTTGATGATTTTAGCGACATTATTCACCGGACTTGCTTTAAGTTTCGTATTTAGAGTTCGTAATGGAAACTTCAGTCTATGCCAGAAAAATGTCTATGTAGGTCCAGGTCTTCGTATAGCCCCGATATAACGGTATTTTAATGATTTTAGCTACATTATTCATCGAATTTTTTCAAGTTTTGTGTTTGGATATTGGCTTATGAATAAATTTTCCTATGCAGGTCCACATCTTCGCGTAGACTCCAATATAACGGCTATGTACGGAATTTTTAAGATTTTAATTTTTTATTTTTTGAAAATTTCCAAATTAGTTCCATATGGTGGAGGATATTCAAAATTCGGCCCGGTCCGACCTGTTTTTTTTTTTTTTTTTTTGAGAAAAATTGAAAATTGCATTCGGCTTCTTTAGAAATGCATTAAGTGTCAGTTAATGCTTGTTTTCCCTAATTATTTTCTTTTCTTAAAAATCAATGAATTAATTGCCCCATTTCCTCTATTGAATCTTCAGTTAAAACGCTCATAAATCGTCAAATAAAAGGTGTAGAAGAAAGTTTTCAAACAATTTTCAAAGCTCTTTTAGAAAAGATCAATAAAAAGAGGCACTCATAAAAAATTTCATACAGTAGCCAATAAATAATAGAGGACAAATAAAAAAGAAACAAAGAGCCGCAACCAAAACAACATCATTTCCCTGCTCAAAATAAAAATTTTATTTTATTTTTTTTGTGTTTATTATCCAGAAGTATAGAAAGCTTTCTAAATCATTGAAAGAGAATAGCCAAAGACCGAACGAAAAAAAAAAATAACAAACAACTGACAACTAATTTCACTATTTACGATCGATTCATAAAATCGTATCGACAGCATCTGAACCACGTTAACGTGAGTGTTTCCAGCTAACCGGCCGGCCAATCAGCCGACCAGCTAGCTATTCAACCGTTGAGGCAAGCTTTGCCATGCCAGCAGCTCGGTTGGTCACTTCATTAGCAATTAAACGGAAACTATAACAAACAGACAAACAAAAAAAAAAAAAAAAAAAGAATAAAATTTTGTGCAAAGCAATTAAGGCGAATTAAATGCCAACCTAGAAAACTATCAGCTTCAGTCGTCGGCCACCACTAACTGTCATCAAACATCAATAAGCCATAAGGCAAATATTTTTTTTGTTGGTTTAGTTGTTTTTTCGTTAACTTCAAACGTACGAAGAAAAAAAAAAAGAAAATCCATTAGAAAATTTTTGAAATTTAGTACACTCGCATAGCTTGATAACCTATATTGGGAGGAATGAAGTGGCAGCAGATACGAGAGATAGTCGTATTTAATTTGAATGAAATGTGAGCGATAAGAGAGAGACATTTCGTTAACTGTAATTTGAAAAAAGAAAAAAATAAATAAATAAAATAAAAACAAAAACCAGTAAAGAAAATCCTAAAGTCGGGCGGGGCCGATTTTATGATACCCTACACCACTTTGCTAATTTAGTTGAGCTCCACATAACAATTAAAAGTTTTTATGGGAGAATTCAATCATACACGCTATGAATATGAATATAATTTAAAGTTCAAAGGACTAAATATGCAGAAGCATTTGTATCTTCTAAATTCGGACTTATATTGCCCATTTGGTGCACAATTAATTTGAAATCAGATAAAATATGTATGGGAGCTATATCCAAATCCGAACTGATCTCGATAAAATTTGGCAAAGATATTTCTGAGCTGTATTTGATATATTTCCCTGAATATCGTTGTTACGGAGTGCATATTACGGCTGTGGGTAACAAATACAACAAATCGGATGAACAATATATACTAGCTTCTAGACTCAATTCGGTCGTATGTGCCAAATTCCATCTCATTTGGGCAAATATTAGACATTTCGTGCACAATAAAAGGTAAATCGGACGAAGTTATATATGGGAGCTATATTCAAATCTGAACCGATCTCGATAAAATTTAGCAAATGCATTTCTGAGCTGTATTTGATATATTTCCCCAAATATTGTTGTTACAGAGTGCATATTACGGCTGCGGTGGGCAAAAATAACAAATCGGATGAACAATATATATGGGGGCTATAGCTATATCTGAACCGATATCGATCAAATTTGGCATACTTATTTTCAGGCCTAATTTGGTTGTATGTGCAAAATTCTATACTATTCGGCCTGATATTACACGTTTGGTGCAGAATAGAAGGCAAATCGGACGAAGATATATATGGGAGCTATATCTAAATTTTTACCGATAATTTCAATAGGGTTCGTCCTTGGGCCAAACAAATGTTGTTTGGAAAATTTCATCTCAATCTGATAATAAATGCGACCTGCATTTTGTTCACAAGAATACATGGACAGACGGACGGACAGACGGACGGACATGCATAAATCAACTCAGAAAGTGATTCTATGCAAATAATCAAAAGGAACTTTGGGTCTATCTCGTTTCCTTTTGCCTGTTACAAACAAATGCACAAAGACATAATACCCTGACCACCTTGTGGTGTAGGGTATAAACAGGTAGAAACTGAATTATATACCATCTACCATAAAGGAAATTTACATGTATATGCAACGAGGTAAATGTTATCAATTAAATCGATAAAATCGGCCTATTCTCGCCTAGACGAATGGGTCTATGGAGAGCCAGGAAAACGTTCGGTGCCCGGACATATTCCCCATTGCAAGTATGGGGGTTAACGGACAAAGTGGACATAATCCCCATTGCGACTTTGACCATTTGCCAGATAGAAAAAGCAAGGCTTAAGGTCTATGATTGGATGGACCAGTTATTTTTTTTATCACCGGTAGGTATTTTAAAACAGATTACGGCAAAGTAATTTTATTCGTGGGGAAAATCCAAAAAATGCAAGAATTTTCACCGCAAACAAATAGATTCAAACGAGCTAAAGAGTTGCTTTGCTTGGCCGAAAGTGGTGAACTGCCGAATTTGGTTTTCTCCGTCTCCGATGAGAACACATTCGTTGTCCAGCAGTTTGTAAACAAACAAAATGATCGCGTTTACTTGCCAAAGAGGTCAGCTGAAAATGTGTACCTTCGGTTGGCCACCAGAACTCAAGCGCTGGGCATGGCGATGGCGTGGGCCGCCATAACTGTCGATGGTCGCTCTCCGCTCGTATTAATTGACCGTGGCATCAGAATAAATGCGAATATTATTGCAAACATATTCTGGAGGGTGTATTAAAGCCTTGGGTACGCAAACATTTTGGCCACAGACCTTGGACATTCTAACAGGACCCAGCACCATCGCACTCAGCAAAAATATTCTGGAGGTTGTATTAAAGCCTTGGGCACGCAAATATTTTGGCCACAGACCTTGGACATTCCAACAGGACTCAGCACCATCGCAGTCAGCACGCGCCACCCAAGAATTGTTTCAAAAGAGGTTCCTCACTTCATTTTCAGCGCACAATGGCCACCAAAATCTCCCATCCAGATACCAATCCGTTGGACTATTGTGTCTGGAGTATTTTGGAAAGCAAGGTTGG